ATCCGTTGGAAACTTGTGAAAAAGCACCTCCGGGTTGCGCAGCGGCTTGTTTGAGCAGCCCACAGCGCTTTAAGTTGTACTCGGCATCTTTCGAGGAACAGCTGCGCAGTCTTGGGCGCACCGAGTTGCTCGCTAAAACGGGTCTAGGAGTCCTCACAAGCAAATAAACAAAAAGCTATACCGAAGCTACACGGGCTACAGGTAAAAGCAACGGCTAAACACGCAATTACAAGCCGAAGTAGCGGTGATAGCAGCACAAAGAAGCGCGCGCGACGGCTGCGCCGTGCGCCCGTCCGGAACGGAGGAAAAAAAGAGGACGACGTTGACATCACGGCCCAATGTTGCTTTAGCGATCGGCAACCCGCTGGCCGCCCGCTAAGGAGCAGCGGCTCGCGGCGGGTCGCGTTTTTATTATCGGCATTGGTTGAGAATGCGGCGTCCCACGGACGTGAAATTTTGGCTGGGGTCATATTTTGTGTCACTAAAGTGATACCAGTAATTTAATTCATTTTGAGTTTTGGCCGGAGTTGCCCTTTAACATATACACTGCACAGCACACACAGTCTGGATGAACACGGTAACAAGCAGGTGACTGCTCGTTCATGCCGTGCTCAGTAGCGTTAAATGAATGCCTGTTAGACAAATGTATCTTATCTGAATATACCTTGAATGGATTTACTTATGTGTATCTTAGATGAATCTGTCTTGGGCGGATGTATCTAAGGAGGCAGGCTGAAAAGCAGGTAAAGCATCGTCTCTATAGGACTGCCAAGCAAGCTAGATCCCAAGATGCATGGGAGAAATATGACCAATGTAATCTAACAACCAAGCTCGAAATAATAAACGCAAAAAGGAAGTATTTTAATGAAGACCTTGGTAACATTATGAGGACCAATCCCAAAAACTTTTGGACTGTGGTTAATCCGAAACAAGGAAGGGAGTCTTTTTCATTTTCCGACGACGCTAGAACAAGTTGAGTCCTCTCGAGGCCTGTGAGCGGTTCAGTCGATATTTTAGTGAACTCTTCTCAGAGGACCTGTTTCCTCTTCCGGATTACTCCCCTGATTATAGTATGTATCAAGAGATGCCTCAACTAACCATTTCGGCAACTGGCATTTTGAAACTCATTGACGAACAGCACTCAAACTCCGCTCCCGGCCCAGATAAAATTTCAATGAAGCTTCTCAAAGTATGCAAGCACGAGTGCTCAACCCTCCTTTCCCTGATTTTTCAACAATCCTTAGACACGGGCGAAATTCACGAAAATTGGAAGCACGCGCAGGTAATTCCAATACACAAAAATGGTACAAAGAATAAATTTGGTAACTACAGGCCAATATCATTAACAAGTGTCTCTAGTAAGCTCATGGAGCATATAGTATTTTCTAACGTTATGAATCACTTATGCATTAACAACTTTATTTTTGTAAACCAGCACGGTTTCTGGCAATCCCACTCCTGTGAAACGCAACTTTTCGAATTCAGCAATGATATTCATGAAAACCTGCATTCCCGCTTAGAAACGCACGCCATTTTTATTGATTTCAAAAAATCCTTTGACAAAGTGCCTCATCACCGCCTTATGTTAAAACTTCGCTCGTTAAGAATAGACCCGTTTGTAACGAACTGGATTGCAGGCTTCCTTTCTAACCGAACCCAATGTATGCATTATGAAAGTAAAGATTCGTCACCCCAACACGTAAAATCGGGCGTGCCTCAGTGCTTGGTCCACTGCTTTTCTTGATATATGTCAACGACCTGCCTACTCGTATTCAGTCCACGATAAGATTATACGCCGACGACTGTGTTTTATACCGGAAAATAGAGGGCCTGGATGACTGTACGCTTTTGCAGAGTGATCTGACGTGTCTTGAGACGTGGTGTGAAGAGTGGCAGTTGCAAATTAACGTTTCCAAAACAAAATATCTGAACTTCAATAATAAACGCGCATCAACACAATTTAACTACACCCTTTTCAGTGTCCCCATAGAAAATGTTCATAAATATAAATATCTTGGACTTCATTTCACGCCCAACCTTTCGTGGGAACCTCATATTAACCACGTCACGGCAAAGGCTAATCAAACTTTAGGCTTTTTAAGACGTCACTTACACCTGGCAACACGGGAAACAAAACTGATTGCATACACATCTCTTCTTCGTTCCAAGCTGGAATACACATCTCTCATCTGGAACCCGCATCAGCCATATCTTATTGACAAGTTAGAAGCCATTCAAAACCGTGCCATCCGCTTCGTTCTCCGCAATTATACCCATACAAGTATAACAACACTAAAACAACAAACTAATATTCTTGCTGACCGACGTAAAACAACACGACTAACTGCCCTTAATCACATGTACTATCATTCCCCCTCAAAGAAAGAAAAACATTGCCCAGCTGCCCATCATGTCTTGGCACGCACAGACAACTCACAGAAACTTCAGCTTGCCACTCCTAGAACACTTTCAAATTTTCTCCCTTACAGTTATCTATATCAGACTGGAATTCCCTTCCCGACGACATCGTGACAGTAAAAGAGCCCACTAGATTTTGTTCCGCTATTGCCACTCTTCACAATATGTAAAAAAGAGCGGAAGGAGGAAAAAATTCCTAACTCTTGTTGACTTGTATCTGTATTGTTGTTTTTGCCCCCCCCCTTATGTAAAGCCCCTACCGGGCGCTATAAGGGTTTAATAAATGAAATGAAACATTCATTTTGGATCACAGCTCTTTTGTAAACGAAAGTGTACACAAATCTGGTCATTCAAGCAGTCCCTACTTAGACAATGCACTATTCAAACTAAGTCAAAATCTTGCCTGCCTCCAAGCAAGAGAACAAGACACTTTTGGATGCAATGCAGTTGGATGTGGAGAATACTCAAATGTACCCAGGTACCTGTGTCCAATTCTGCGCGAACAATGACAGATACTACGGCGCGGAATGAAACGCAAACAGCGGAACGCGCGGCCTTTGATACATATGTTACACCACCTGAAGACTGAGAAAACCGCAAGGTGGAGAAGGGGTAGCCACGAGTGTGAGCGTGGACCTGTCCGAGCAAAGCGAATGCCTTCCTAGCCCCCTCTCCACTCAGCAGTTTTATTGGCTTCCAGGGAGCGAGGCATGTATCGAAGGCCACGCATTCCGGCGTTTGCGTCTCGTTCCGTGCTGATAGTATGTCCAACCCTTCGGGAATGGTGAAGGCTGGTTCGCACACATTGTTTACGACTGAGATCTTGTGATCTCCGACGTAGAGAGCACACACACTGGCATGCTGGCAACATCTACGCATCTACGGGGTGACTCTGGCACTGCATTTCGCAACAGCGAAGGTTTTGCGGTATTTGCAAAATAAAATGAACATAGTACGTATCGAATATGGTCGGTCACAACAATGTCTGTTTTCCGAGCCAAAAAAAAAGAAAAAGAATGATGCACGAAAATATTTTGAAAAACACGGAAATATCAAGTCGTCAGCAATCGCAATTGTGTGTGGACCAGCCTTGACACGTAGAGACAAAAAACAATGAGCAGAAAACCTAGCTGGAAGACGGTTCGCCTGGCCCCTCTCTTTGGGAAGGAAAACGGGGAGAAAGCAGTCGCATGCACATCGGGTGTTACGTTGACACGGGGGTTGGTTAAAGAAACGATTCAGAGCCGCCAAACACCAACAATCCAAGAGACCACAAAGGAGAAAACGGTCAAAGAGAAGGACCAGTTGAATTCATCCTCGCAGACCCCACCCCCCTAAACAAAATGTTGTTCGAAACACAATCATTATGGACCGAGACACTGTTACAAGATAGCAATGAAGTAAGAATGAGAGGTTGTTATTCTTTGCTTTACTACGAAGGTAGACTGGGGCAAAAGAGACAATAATTTCATTAAGGGATGACAGCATTATTTCGATGTTTCGAAGTTCTTTTTTAAGAACTATCAGCAATGCTGGGGGAAGCAACGAAAGTGATGGCTCAACTCTCGGATAGAGTCGACGTTGGTATGGATGGTCCTGGTGTTTTTTGTAGGTATGTATTACTTACAAGCAGTACTGTCGAAAAGAAAATAACGCTTCAATGCAATTTTACTTAATTTTCACTTAGAAACTGAAAGTTTGCTTCCTCTTATTTGTGCCAAGTTCTGACTTTTGACTCAATCCTCAGCATAAAACGATGACACTCAAGTGACTCATATTCTGGTTTTTGAGAGTAAAAAAGATCTGTTTAGAAAAAATTGTTTATAAATTTCCTCTCCCATCTACTTTCAGCCTAGAAGAAAACACTTACATGCCACCACCTAAAACTACTTCATGTGTTGTGTTGGTTACATACAGACTTTGCTACAGCCAGTCTGGCTTTCTGTACTTCACAAATTAAGAGCAAGGCACATATTACCTGAACTCAGTTATAATACCAAGGCAGCTATGTCAACTGTAACACTAATGAGCAAGCAGAGAAAAAAACAAGAAAAAAAGAACTCGAGACATCATGCAAAACATATAAGCCACCACCACCGAATTGCCAAATAAACTCTCCAAGCAACTTTGAGAAAAGAAAAAAAAATTCTGACACAGTTATACGAGGCATCAATTGTTCCGAAACGGCACTTTTCTCTCTTTACGAGAATAAACCCCACATCCCTTATCGAGATTATGCGTCAGTGAGTCGATTAGTGAAAGCGTAATTGATGTGTGGCCTTTTCCTGTAATCCAATTATTTCTTACAATTCAAGCACGAGAAAAACCGCAATCCTTCAGCCCCTTCAGCTACTGCCCTAGTTGCAACACTGCCCCAGTCTTTTACCCTCGCTTCCGCCGTTTCGACTTCGCATGACGCAGCCTGCATCGATGCCCGCGCAGAAGGGGTTAGTGGTGAGTGCGTCTCAAGTGACACCCCGAGAGCGAAGCAGACGGGTGAGTGGTGAACAACAACCAAACGGTAAGTGAGGCAGGGTGGAAAGGGTGAAGGAAAGAGGGCGAGAGGGAGGGGCAAGGCTCACCTTCGTTCCCAGTCCCCATTGGGCGGGTGACTTGATTGCTGAGTGCCCCGTCGTCGGAGCCTCCTTTGGGGGACTGGAGCGACCTCAGCGGATCGGTGGGGCGCCCTAGGCGGACGACCCGGGCGGAGGGTGCACAGGTCAGGATGGGTGGCGCACAAGGGAGGCTCAAGCGCCGCCACATGGCTTCTCTCGCGAGGAACAACGTGCCCCGTGACTGACAGTTATTGGTTCTGCAACCGCCTAACTGCTGCTGCCTGCAGTCTTCTCCAATAAAAAGCCTTTGAAATGAGAACTTCCCACGTCTATCGCTTAGACATCTGAAAGGTGGCGATAGACATGGGATGGACAAGTTTATGAGGGATTGGCTAGTTTTTAACCCTAGCTTAAATTACCTAGCCGAGCTTCAACTAGTCCAATCTAAACTAACCTAGTCAAAACTAACCCAATCTAACATCTAACCTAGAGTGTTTCTTTTTGTCATTAGAAGATGTCGCTTGTCTGAAACTTGAATTTCAATATGTGGCTCAAAAGTTTTCGAGCCAACCAGCTGCCAATGAGACTACATTTAAATTTCCTGTACGCTCGACAGGCCTACACCAAAGAGACGAGTTTCCTGCAATCTTCACCATTGAAAAATCTCTACACTTGGCATCGGATTTTTTCTGCTATGTCGTCGGAGATAGCGTAACTTCCAAGGTGCTGCTGCCCTGCACTGCTGCAAGAGCAAGTGGCTTTGTCTTGCACATTATTTGCACACGTTCTCACGCAAAGGAGACTCCAAGCAAAGCTAAGTGCTCATGCAAGTAGCTTTGACAGCATTGGAGTCCTAGGAAAACTACGCTAGCCTTGCCAACGTGGTGCATTAAAGTTGGAACTGAAATAGACATGTTCTTAAGAGCAGGTGGCATCGTATTCATTACCTCTTTTAATAATTCCAACATAGCAGATGCATAGCTACAGGCTCTGAACTGCTTTACCCAGTGCTGCAATGCTGCACACTAGAGCGCACCCATGCCCTTCCACTGGAACGGAAAACCGAGCCGGCTTACCTACATGTGGCGGCGCTTTGCCCGGTATGTTGCGTCGCGTTAAGAGGGCGAGTAGAAGTTAGTGAAGAAAATCAGAAGGAGACATATTAGGACGCTTCTGTGCCGTCGCCAGTGGTTACAACACAAAGCAAAAAGCGTGACACAGAGTGCAATTTGATAAGAGAAGGAAACCCCGAAGAGCCAACCACCGTCGCCATGTCATCGCCCAGCATTCCAAACTGGGTTAGTGTTTACTCGCACCACCACCACCATTGTCCCCCCCCCCCCCCCCCCCCAAAAAAAAAAAAAAAAAAAACTATTTACATTGCAGTTTAAAAAGTGTCAGCCTTAGAGTGTGAAAAGTTTTGAAGCTGTACTTTTTAGTATCCAAGATACTCACAAAGAAGTATAACAGCCCAGAAAGGTACGACAGCTGTTTTCTATTTCCATCCGTGACTTGACCTCCCTCATGTTTCACTAGCAAGGGGTTCCGTGACAGCGGCCTATCGTGACCTTGTGTCAAGTGCAACAACTAGTGTGATTGAGCTCGTCATCTACGCTTGCAGTAAACAACGCGCACAAAAAATCAAATACTGCCACACACTTTATCATTATTGTTTTTCTGGACTTGGACTTATGGAAAGATCCAGATGAGCATTTGTGCTATTATGCCATAACATACTTGTATACCTAATCGAGGAGTTACGACGAACTGCCCTAACACCAATTAGATCCCCTCAGTGCAGAAAGAGCACTGGGTCTTCAATTTTCATAGAAGTATGTCTCAATGTCCTTCGTAGCAAAGGAGACACTTTGGCTGAAACACCTCGTATATGTTTACGCACTTTGTTAGATTTCGTGCATGCCTCAGCTTTCGGCCGGTTATAAAAAGCTTCCGCACCCCGCTGGACTTCTTGTGTACATTTGTAAAACTGCCCGAATGTGTACCTTTAGCTATGGGTCTGCTACTAGTATATATTCATGTCTACAACACGAAGCCAGAGAGATCCCACTGCCGGGTTCCACGTACGAGCAAAATACACCCGGTCAGCTTAAGCTGACCGAGTGTATTTTTTATCGCATTGTTCAGCCCGAAAATTTTGTCGTTATCGTCCGCACACCCAGCAGGCAAACTCCAGCGTCCGCAGCGATACCCATTTCCATTCGGTGCAGTTTAAAAGTCCGGTTCAGACATCTGCATCGATGGCGCCGTGCTGCGTCAGACGCGTTCCACGGCGATACACTGCACGATTCTACGACGTTGGGGTAACGCAGCCCTTTGCTTTGCTACATAGGAGCCTCGGCATTCGGCTGGAACTCTCGTTCAATCGGGGAGAATGCGAGCCCCAGCCCAACGTCCGCAACAAGGGAGGCAATGGAGAAAATCCTGCACCGTGTCCACGTCATCTACTCCGTTTCGCCTTACAACGAGTCGCCGCAGACGGTACGAGTGCTTTCGGCTAATCCAGCACTGTGAACGTATCGAGCGACCGCGCGCCTCGCTGCACCCCTTCCGAAGGTCGTGCGGTGCTCGCATGGCATTGGACTGGATCAGACGGCTCGCACCGTCCACCGCAGTCCACTGTCGGGCGACGCAAAGTATAGCTGTCAGTCTTAGTCCAAATGCAGATGTCTAAACCGTCGCGACCGAGTGTGTTAGAAACCTTTTGTGATCTCTTACAATGAGAGATAACACTGCCGCCATCCTTTAGGTAGCTGTGGAACACGTGATTTCTTACCTTTTCCCCAACCGCTCTTTCCTTATTGGCTCACAAAACTCTCAACAATGTCATAAGAGACAGCTTCTCGTAGACAGTATGTACACTTGATCTCACAGATGCTGCAAAACCTTCGCTCTAGTAAAATGCAGTCCCAGGGCCAGCTCACAGATGGTGCCAGCATGCTGTCTCATTGTAAGAGATTGCGAGGACTCCATCGTAAGCAAGCGCAAGTACGTGATCCAGCCTCGAGGCTAAAGAAGTGCAGCAGGCAACCAGAGGCGCATTTCTGACGAGCCAAGCGGTGCTGAGGTGCCCGGGGGGCATGCACGGTATCTTCTCCCCGAAGACTAACCAAAGAGCTCTTCCCGAGTGAGGTCATTGAACTCCTCGGCAGCCGAGTCTTCCTCCTCGTCTGCGGTCGGCAACGCCGGGAGTGGCGAGGAGGGTGGCGGAGAAGGGTGGGAGGGAGGACAGGTGCACTCGCAAGCAGGACAAACGCTCACGGCGGGAGACGCTGTCACGCCACCGGAGTCCTGCAACACCCCTGAGGGAGGAACGCGCGTTGCGCCCCCGACGCGTGCGTGGATGCATAAGCGAGGGTCTTGTGCGGGTGGGGAAATGGGGGAGGGAAATTTGAATACTGTCCGATGTTACTGCTTCCCTTCATCCTCAGAAGAGACTCGGCGAATAGTTCCCCATCTCCACCGAGTTATCTCGAATAAATTCCCCAAAGGCGAGCTTCCTAGATTCCATGGTCAAGGACACCTTTTTTGGGTAAGTTCCCTGGGTTCCCTAAATGACGTTGGACAAGTTACCCAGATTTTCTGAAAGATGTTAGGCAAGTTAACTGGATCCCTAGCTGATCCGACCACTAGGTTCCCTACAAGAAGTACAGGAAGATCCCTTGATTCAGCGTATATCTAGAGTAAATTCCCTAGATTCTCTAGGGGACCTAAGGTAAGTTCCCTAGAACCTTTAAGAGACCTAGAGTAAGTTCCCTATATCTCCTGGGGGGGATCTAGGGTGAATTCCTTAGATTCAATGAGGTATCTAGGACAAGTTACCTAGATTCCCTCGAGGACCTAGGGTAAGTTGGGTGGAGTTCCTAAAGGACAGGAATTAGCTCCTCAAGGTCTCCTAAATGCATAGACTAGCTTCCTACATTACTAAAATGACCTAAAGAAAGTTTCTGGCATTGTCTGAAGCATCTATTGCAATTTCCCCAAAATCTAAAGGACAGCTTGTAGAAGTTCCTCACAACCCCCAAACCAAAGTATATAGAGCAAGCTTCATGCATTCCCTAATTAAATTTAAGTTCCTTAGACCCATCAAAGAAGCTATAAATTTTCACAGGCATTAAGGTCCAACGAGTTTTTTTAGGGCGGTGGTTCTCAACCATTCATATTTCGCGAACCCCTTGTGGATCGGCAAAGATGATGGAGGACCCCGTTTGTAGTGAGGGGAAGGGAGAGGTATAGGTCATTTATGATGATGATTTAATAAATGGATATAACTAAGGGCTAGTGTGAATTAGACTTCTCTCATTGAAATAGACATGAGGAAACTCAGCCAAATATTGGAACGTTTCTTTTCAATCTGAAAAATATACAACTTTCCTTGCCGGGCATGACTCATGAGGCAGGGCTTCGCAGACCCCTAAAATGCTTTCGCAAACCCCAAAGGGACTGCGGACCCCCATTTGAGAACCACTGTTTTAGGGTATTGGGAAAGCAACTCCTACACGAATGAAAACATGTCTCCCTTCCATGCCTCTGAGAAAAACAAAAGCAAGCTGAAAATCAGATAAAGTTACGAGCGACATCTCCACAATATGTTGGCAATATCCTACTGAAGTGCACACAATCTTCCCTCACAATAAAGAATGAATGTGGAAGAAAAACAAACAGACAGACAAAGAAACAAAATCCAACGGCGCTCTTAGGAACAGTAGACAATTCATAGGGAACTGATTGGAAACTGCAGGTATGAGTTTTGGGGAAGAGTACAACATTGACAAAGGGGAACACAGCATGTGCTCCCGGGAGGCAAGCGGGTATACAGGTATGTTGGAAAGGTGTCATGCACATCGAGACCATGTTCCGCTAAAACAAGCTTGCTTTAGACAAACATTAATACACACACACATATGGGGAAGCAGCAGGAAACGGCCATGCCACGTGGGTGAGAAGGACACACCGACAGAAACCCTGCGGGGCCAGCACAGGAATACAAGGCCAGTTCAGAAGACCAATGTCGCACAGAGCATTGCTGGTGGGGTGGCTTCTACGTAACTAAGAATCTAACTGGACCGCCAAAGCGGTCCGTTACGAAACCTTCAGATGAACAAGCGCGTCAGCAACTAGGCAGTAATTTAAACAAAAAATAATAGGAATTAACACAACCCCATACGGATATAAACTAGTTTCCATTAGAACTCAAAACACAGAAAAAGGTAACCTTCATCTTCACCTAAGACTACCCTACCTACGGCTACCTTATGTGCTTGAAAATAGGTTGACCTCATCATGAACAGAGTGTACAAGGTCAATCGTTGGGACGAGACAGAGACGACAATTGAATTCAGAAGCGCGATTGGCATCGAGACACATTGCACAATGTTAGCTAGCAGTGTCTCAAAGCAGATACAGTTTCCAAGCCCCAGAGTGATTGATGCCTCATCAATCATTGGGCTCCTCCTCTAACTCAAAATGATTGGCTCTCCGTTTGCGACGCAGGAAAGTATGCGAGCATAAGAAAACCGACATATTGTCGAGTCAATATAATAATATAACAGGCTTAGCACCCGTTCTATGGCGAAAAAATTGGTAACTATAACTGGCACAGCATTGCTATACTGTTACTGCCTTCCTGGCACTTTGTTGCAGCCTTCACCCAGCTGGTGAGGTTCCCTCGACGAAGGAAGGCAGCCTTCGCTGCATGCATCTCATATGATGGTGTTCCCCCCTTTTAAACCGTTTTCACTCGTCAAAGTGAGTCAAGAATAAACATAGGTCACATCAGAGGCAGTGACTGCAAGGGTGGTGCAAGCTAAAAAGCCCCCAGAAATGTCTCACCTTGGCCACAGCGGTGATCCCAGCCCTCTTCAATGTTCTGCACAAAGCTGTCTTTCTTCCTTATCCTGGAGACAGAGACACAAAAAAAGGATTAGCAATTTGCCTATTGTCAATCAATATTTTGCAGCGATCAAAATGCGCAGGTTTACCAGAGGCGTCCACAAACTATTCGGGAGATGGGGGTGGACAATAAGGGGTAAGGGGGTGGGGGGCGAGTGAAAGTTTCCTCCCCCTTCCCCGTATTGCGTATATTAAATTTTAATGCGAAAGCATTAACTATCCAATGGAGCGAGCCGACGTCATCAGCTTTGAAACCGCGCCAGACAACACCTTAATGAAACCGTGCGCAATCTAGCCAACGGCGCCTTTTACACTTCAGTCCCATTGGCTGGCGCGCGTTGACGAGGCTCCCATCGGCCGCTGTGCGGCAGTTTGTGTGGTGTCATCCTGACTGTGTTATCACACTGGTGTGTTATCACCGATTTGTCATACTAACCGACCTGTGCACATGCCCGTGCTCGCTCGCCTCTCATCGGTTGTACAGCGCGTGGCAATACATACGGCGCATGGAATAAACCAAGGAGTTCGTTCTGCTAAAAACTATGTTGCTGTCTGTTTCTTCCTTGCGCCGCAAGGCACACGACAGTTTGAACGATCGCTCACCCGATGGCGCTGCGCGTCCGCGAGGCAGCGGCTCCACCGTTTCACGCCCAAGGTCAGCGCGTTGTATGCCACAGATTAAGAAAAGGGACGAAGAGCGGCGTGCGTGCTTTCGCATTCACAACACCTAAGAAGTGCTTAGGTGTACCTCGAGCCTTTTTTAAATGTCTGCGGGAGGGGGGCATCTTGGATAGACTCTAGTTTGATGGGTTCTTTCGGCAATACCATATTTTCTGGTCTACAGGTGGCGGTGTATTCCTCAAATTTCCATCACTGTGTCTTAACAATGATGTGGCTTATATGTGTCTTTTTTTTTAAAGTATGGACACTACATTGTGCAAGTACGGCAAAGGAGGAACGACAAAGCACTCGCCGAAGGCCTGCTCTTCCAGCAACCCAAAGACTGCCTGAAGCGTGGCGGTAGGTCCACGGTTGCAGCAACTTCACCAACCCCACAAAGTGCGACTTGTACACACCAACATTTTAGTGATAACGACTAATTGTAGAAGGTGAAACTTATGAACCAGAAAATATGGTACTATAAAACGGACAGATTTTTCGTCTTATAAATACATTCGCCAATCAATTTTTCAATCTTTGCAGGGACCATAAAAAACATACCATCCGAAAAATCAGCAGATTAAAAAACTTGCTTTTCAGTTGAACCTCGCTATAACGAGCTAGCACCGAAAGCAGAAATTTGTTCACTATATGCAATATTCATTATAAAAGTACACACAAAAATTTATGCGAACGTCCCCGCAATCGAGCCCGTGCAAGAGTGTGCACAGCAGTAAGACAGGGGTTCTCAAATGGGGGTCTCCGGACCCTTTGGGGTCCGGGAGAGCATTCTGAGGGTCTGCGAAGCTCAGCCTCGTCAGTTAAGCCCGGCAATAAAAGTTGTCTTTTCTGAGATTGAGAAGAAACGTTTTAATTTACGTGTGAATGTTCTCGTGTAAACCGTAACATCCCGTAAGGGCGCCCTCCCCCGAGAGATCGCCCATCCCGTTTTTCTGGCTAAATATCTGTAACACAAAAATTCTGAAACATCGCCCACCCCCCGATTCCCGTTGAACGTCAAGCGATGTCCGACGGGAATCGCGCATGAATGGCGCAGTCGGCGGTACCGGTGTGTCCGAGAAGTGAGTTCATAGCGGGTTCCCGCGTTTCTGTCTGCGATCTGCACACGATATCGGCTCGCGTAACACTCGAGTTGTTCCCGCGTGTATATTGCATCGTGAAATGCGAATCTGCTGCGTTCGCGATTTGCAATATCCGTTCCAGAGTTCATAGTTCCCGAGTTCGTAGCAGATTCCCGTGCTTTTGTCCGCGATCTGCACGCGTGCTATAGATTTTGAACTGTAAAGTAACACGTGCGAGTTGTTTCCGCGTGTATATTGCATCATGAAATGTGATTCTGTTGCATCCGCGATCTCCTGTACAGTAGGCTCGCTATAATTCAAACTCTGATATTTCGTACTTCCGGTTAATTCAAACAGATCTGAAAATTTTGGTTGTCCCACTATGTTTTTAAAGTATTTATAGGCCGCTTAATTCGAACGGCGTTTTCGCTTAATTCATACTTTTCTGTTTTCGCGGCCCCGTTGAGTGCGCTTCTTTCCGAGCACCGGTGCACCGCAGAGAAGCAATACCCGCGGAGCTTGTTTTCGCGAGTGTTGCTTCTCCGCAGTGCACCGTTGCTCGGAAAGAAGCGCACTCAACGGGGCTAAAGCGGGCACACATTAGCAGAAAACGGCATTCACATTATGTGCTTCAAGACTAGCAATGATGACCAAAACGACATTGAGGATGAGGACCAGCTCACTGGCATCATGCTTTCTGGCCTTGAAGCACATAATGTGAACGCCGAGCTGGCGGAATATGCTAGCCTTGACGACAATGTGTGTGTTTGTCGTGATGACTCATTAGAGGACATAAGGAAGTAATGCCAGCACAGTGCAGCAGTGAGAGTGAAGATGATGATGAAGAAAGCGATGACCCACTACCAACTGTCACAGTCGCAGAGGCCTTTGAGCACATCGCTCAGCTCCGGAAGTTTCTGTCTGCAAAGGAAGAGTCCCGTAAAGAGATACTTGCGTTGGCTGGTATTGAAAATTTTGTTTTGAGATCTCATGCACTGACTAAACAGTCCAGAATCGACAACTTTTTTGCCGGATAAATAAACTCAACGTCACAGTTCTTTCACCAATGTGTTATGCCTGTACTTGCTTATAATTAGGCCTATGTAGAGGAAACTGGCAAAAATCTGCTTTGTATGTGTAGCTATCCATGTAACAAATCATAATGTTGTCTAATATCATCTTTAGATGAATTTCTGATAATTCAAACTTCTGGTAATTCAAACTAGAATCTGTGACTTCCTGGAATTTGAATTAATGAGAGTCTACCGTATTTATTTCCGTGACATGCGAGTTTGTAGCGTAATCCCATGTTTTTGTCCGCGATCTGCGCGTGCGATATCGGTTTCCGTGACAGGCAAGATTGTAGCGGGTTTCCGCGCCATTATTGCACCATGAAACTTGAATCTGCTGCGTCCGCGATCTGCGGTATCCGTTCCCGTGAGATGAGAGTTCTCAGCAAGTTTCTGCGAGTCTTTCGCACCGTGAAATGTGAATCTGCTGCGTCAGCCTCTTGCCCGTGACAAAGGAGCTTGTAGCGAATTTCCGCGTGTTTATCACATTGTGAGATGCGAATTTGCCGTGTCCGCAATCTGCGGTATCAGTTCCCGCGTCAGGTGGTTTGTAGCGGTGCCCTGGCGCTTACGATGAATTTTTTATAACGTTTTTCTGTGGCATCCCTAAAGATAGCCCACCCCAGGTTTTTCAACATTTCTCTCTTCATTTTGGGTGGGTGTCCTTACGGGATTTTACGGTATGCCAATAAGAGAAGTCTACTCACACTAGCCCTTAGTTATATTCATTTCTTAAATAGTTATTATATTTAACCCATACCTTTACCCTCCCTTCACCAGTAACAAGGTCCTCCATTATCTCCGCTGATCCACTGGAGGTCTGCGAAACATCTATGACTGAGAACCACTGTGCTAAGATATAAAAATGAGCTATCGCGGAACACGAGATCCTTACCTGCCAATAAGCAGGATTTAAAAAATAGATTAGAACATGAGCATATCAATTTGCAACATGAGAAACGACGTTAGCTGGATCTATTATTTCATTTATTTGAAGACATGATTTTGGGCTGGTGCCTCTTCACCCGGAGCCACCGCACTGGAGCCAACCGCCCGCTTGCACTGAAATCATCATACCCTAACAGACAGGCCAGACTTATTGCTTTCGTTTGAAGAAGCTGACAGATTCGTTTGAAGAAGCTGACAGATTTGGTGCCCTTACGCCCTTAAACCATGAGAAGAGAGCCTCTTCCACGTCCGGGTTGACGCAAGGTCTAAGATTCTTTCCGTCAATTTTGACGGAGTTGTTTGCGTAGCAGTCTTTAAAGGAGCTGTGCAACGATTTTAACGTTGAAAGAACTGGCATCTTCTGCTTTTGATATTGTTCACCTTGTCACAAATGACAGAAAACACACCTCCTTTCATCGAAATGTTGCGATTCCGCCGCGTAATAGCGAGGCAAAACTTAGAATATTCCCCGACCTGCACTTGCGAGCGGTGGCCATGAGAAACACGCGGCGTGACGTCACTGGGGAATCTTGTAGAAAGATAGCAAGTTGTGCGAATACCTGCTCGATAAAAGGTAACTTTTCTATAAATCTTGTCGTTCCAACATATACATAAATGCGTCAAAAACCTAGTATCATCGACAAAACTTTTATTATACGGAGTTTTAGCGGCGCCATCTATCCTAGGTCCCCAAAACTATCGGCTCCATCTGCTACCGTGGACAGCCGCCAGAAGCCGGGGGGGGGGAGACAGCCTAACCTCCTTGAGAGAGCCGGACGGGTATGGCCGGAGCTGGATGAGACTTTCCTCCTTTCACCACAGTGTTCGCGCTGCGCCCGCCAGCACGTCGTCACGCGGTTGCGAGTGGAGGCGTTCTCGCTGCTCACTGATGGCTCTAAAGAGAAAACTTTTCCAGAACCCCGCGCCTACTCAAGTGACGTCACTGCGCACGTGAGCCGGAAGACGACGTACGAGTTGAGAGGCGGCAAGAACCTTGATCTTTTTCATTTTTTTAAAAATAAAAACTAAGGTATCCAGGCAAAATCTGTTTTTCGTAGTTCACTTCAGAAGTGTCAGGCATCAACTTCCACAATAATTTAAGCAAAGCCCTGAAATTGTTGCACAGCTCTTTAATCTTCTTCCTTGCACTCAGGATAGTAGATATCGTGCTTGGTGCAAGCTCAAAGTCCGCAGTGATGTCTTTTTTCTTTTGACCGCTGTCCACCGCCCTCGAAGCCTTCACATTTGTCTCCCGAGAGACAAGACTATCCACTTTGTCACCGTTTGCAGCTCCGCTACGAGTGGCATGGTTGCCGGTTGGCTTTAGTCGGCACCGGTTCTCGATGCCTTGCACAGAGGACAGCATCGGCCCCCCAGCCATTATTTGCTCGGTTCATAGGTAGCGCTACCTCCTGAAATGCACATTTCTGCACATCGTGTGATCTATACTTATGGAATTTTCCGTTTCAAAATTGCTTTTTGTATTTTTAACTTTCATAGTATTTTGTGACCAAGAAAAGCAGGAATTGCTGCGCTATGACCAATAGCGTGTCAAATCTCACAGTTTCGGTTTCGTAATATAACTAGAACTCCCAGCAAATAAGGCAAGACGAACCAAACATTGCGATTAGTTTGCTATATCTGACAATACGCTATATCAGTGCTCGTTATAGAGAGGTTCAACTGTATTACATCTAAGTGGGCTTAGGAAAGCCATTAATAGTACCTTGCTTCAGGTGAAGCCTTCGCCTGTGTTCGGCCACTTTATTTGGCTAGAGAACTGCTGCCTTCTTTTTTAGCGTTATGGCTGAGTACTTTCCACGCTTCTTAGCGACACTTTGTGGCAGCGGAAGAACAGATGGTGCCATGACGCCCAAGCCAGCGTCGACCAAGAACACGATTCACCGAGACAAGAGGCGCAAGTCCATGACTGCAGAATGACGAATGAACAAACCAAAAGGATAAGGATGATGATAATGAAGACTAGCTGGGGAAAAAAAAAGCCGTAGCATAGCGTCACCTAACGGTAGGAGCTAGCAGTACTCAAGTAGTGCTGCCAAACCAAGCCAATCCATGTGCAACCAACATAGAATCTCAAATGGCAGCTTCTCAGTAGTGTTTCCCGCTCATCGCTCGCAAAAACGATTGTGTCCAAAAAATTTAACCTTCGGACTTCAAGTTGTCTGCAACATCCGTCGTGAATATGCACTATTTCTATCGGGTTGGTCACGCCTCCTTCTTTACGTTCGAAATATTAAACAAGTCCGAATTATCGGCACGCGGAAAATCGGTCGGCGACTGAATCTGTCCCGGGAGGGTCGCGTCAAATGCACCCACTTGAGCCGTGGGTTGACGCAGGCGTTGTTGTCCGTGTCCCACGCACAGTATGGATCCTGGAGGGCCACACAATCCCTGCAAACGAAGAATCAAATCAACAACTCAATCAATCAATCGATCTACCCAAGCATACCACCAGCAGAGGACAAGAGGGAGAGAGCGAGCCCGCTTCCGCCGCTGCCCCGCAAACCACCACGGAACGCTCCGAAGCCTAGCGTTTGCACTCTACACATGCTGTGCTCCCCGGTGTTCTGTTGTTGACTACAGGCTACAGTAGAAAGAGCGGAGAGAGAAAAATGCCCTCCCCCTCTTATCCCACGCGTCGTCTGCTCCACCGAGTGGGCTGGGCCTAACATCTGGCTAGCGTTCAAACTCGGTTTAAAAGTGCGTCACTTTGAAAATTTCAAGCGCAGATTTGCAGATTTCGATATGCAAGCTATTGTGTAATGCTATATGCCCGATAAAAAGACTAACCGGGTCTAATTGCGCTGTTGCGCTGTTACTTGCCGTGCAAATAAAAAAAAAAGTGAAAACGGTGTCCGAGTGACAGGTCTGTCCTCTCAGACGAAAAGTAAATCCGGTTTTCGTAGCCTTTTTTTACTATACAAAGTTTGTACTCATGCCGGCCTTTAGCGACAATGAGTGGAAGACTGCAATATTAAATAAAAACATGCTCTGCTGATGCAATAGACAGTGGTTGAGGGTAGTATTGCCGGTGGACTCCACTGCTATTGAAGTAACAGAACAGAGATATGCTAGCTGATGATTATTTACTGAAATAAAACAGCAGAGCGCTATAGGCCAATTTGGGAGTAGTCATAAATATGCCAGGAGTGCAAACCACTTCACAATAGCACGCACGAGCGAGAGTTTGGTGTTTGGTACGAAACGTCGAACTCAGCGCGCTGGTACAGCCCAAAGATGGAAACGCCAAACTCCCGGTTTGCCGTCTGCTAGCGGAATCGGATGTGTGCCCCGCCCCCTCTGTCGTTTTACCCCGCTGAACTTCCCGGATGTATGGAGCGGGCGCTGCAGTCGAGCAAAATGGCGCCGCCCCGAGAGCGCTTACTGGACTGGTCTATAGGGCGGTTCCCCGAAATGCCTCTTCCCCTCCTAAGCTGCGTTTCGCCACGTTGATGGAGAGTGTTCGCCACTTTCACCACTTGTTTACACGCAGACACTGAGTTGCTGGCGTCATCTGCGGTGTCGGTGGAACGCTGAAGCATGGTCGAGTGGCTCCGTCTACAACGGAACTCGGTAGGTATGACCGGGGACATGCATGGGTTGTTTATTCCGGTTTGGTTCCTTTCAAAGTCCCCCAGGCGGCATCTATGGCTGCCAACGGATCGACTCCTCGAATGCCAGTTTGTCGTCAAGTCCGAATAGAGACCGGTACGTATAAAAATCGAGTATAAGATGATGCTCCTTTGTGTCACCGGCTACTCCGGCGGACGCAGTTGATCAGGACGTCAGAATCTCGAGCGATCTGGAAAACACTGCTTTCGCGCGTAGAAAGGCATACGGTGAAGGTTCATTAACACGGTGTCTGACGAGATTTCGAGCAAAAAGTATGCCACGCGAAACCGCCTTATAGTGCACATTTTGTTGAAGAGACGTCCGAGGACTCACGCGCACGATCCGGCATAGCGCTGGCAGCCGAAAAGCGGTATCGAGTGGATCTCGGAGGGTGCCACCACGATGAGGCGGGGCTCCCTCGCATTGCGGTGGACCAGCAGGTTGGTGACCGGAGCACCGCTCTCAAACACTCCAACGTCCTCCACAAGGACGGGTCCACCCTTGGACTGCTGCTGCTGGTTGCCACCCGTGGCACCGCTGGCCACGTTCACCGCCTTCAGCACACGTCCCACGTCTGAAATAGGGAGGCATCCCTTTGTCAGAGCGCTGGATTGGATTGTGGTGGCTTAGCCCTTTGTAACAACTAGAGCCACTAAATAAGTTTGTGTCTGTGTGACACTCTTGTCACACCCATGTGACAGCCCTGTGATGCTCTTGCATTAAGGTACTGCATTACAAAAGGTGGCTAGTTCCCTTAATACTGCATAATAAAAAAACAAATTTTCACAGTTTTTTTTGCCGTGGTTAGGTAGCCACATTAATTAATTAAAATTCCCTCACAATTACAGCTTGTCATCGTTCCTTCCATAGGAAAAGTCACCCGGATAGCCTCAAATGACGAACAGCCACCAGAGTCACGCGACAGGCGCCAGAGAAAAGGGGTCTCACCGGTCCCGATGAACAGGACATCATACTTCTTGCCATTGACGGTCTCCACTTGGGGGTCCACGGCAATGTAGGTGAACCGGTACCTGTGGAAACACATCCCCCATGTTCAGCTGCCACGAGCTTTATGTACAGCTGTTTGCACGTGCCACAATCACTTACCCTACCACCACCAACAATGATAATAAAAATAAAGGCACCTCTCCGATTGACCGACCAAACATCCCGTACACAGGATGCATTTGCGATACACAAACCTGGGCAGCGTGATGGCATGATGTCGTGCCACCGTCATGGGACGTCGCGGTGTTAAGTCGTCGTGTGACACCGCGACCTTAAAGTACCTCACTGGACCTGACACACGTCACGCAGTCATGTGGCTATGCGATTCGTAGTGGCACCAACAGCATAACCGTGTGACTCATAGCAGCACGATTCATGGCGGTGCGCCATCAGCAAAACTTAGCTCTCTAAATTTAGCCGATGATGTCACGGCACGGCTATCATGACGGCTACACAAATCCTAGCTACCTATACTAACTTCACTTCCGTTAGAAATGCATTTCACGTTACGAATAGGGTCACATTTGGTTGAAACATTCCGCACCAGCAATATATGACTATACAGTGCAATCGACTTATAAGGATAATAAGAAAACCCAAAAATTCAATCGTTATAACCGATTATCGTAGTATCTGGACTAGAAACTGATTGTTCCTAATCTAGCAACTTTAAAAACTGATCGTTGTAAGCGGTACATCGTTATAAGTGGATTGCACTGTAGAGCTCCATTCTCTTCCAGCAGGCAGAAAGGATTCAGCCCCTCCAAGTTTCTAGTGCTGCCTTATGTTTGAGATTTTAGTAGCTACCACTGCAATGCGTGTGCGAGAGTCTTGGACGGAAGAACGCCGAGTCAAGCTTGAAGCGTGTATTTATACTGGCTGAATACTTTTGAAATCAAATAGCGTGGTATTTAAAATTTGAATATTCATGCGGCCGCAACGGCATACTCACTGGAAGCCAGTGTGGACCAGGATGGGTCGCCCAAAGTAGGACGGAACCGCCTGGTCCATGAGAGGATGTTCCGTGATGAAGTTGAGCGTCACGTCGGGCAGGGTCCGAGAGTCGTTGACGCACTGCATCGCGGCAGGGTTGATTGATTTGGGCTTCTCGGTGCAAAAGCTTAAAGTGTCAAATCATGATAGTGAAAAGCAAACACTATGATAAGCAAATCATGATATGTGTCTGACGGAATTCAGGCAACTCTCATTCGTGTGTTCTGTGTCAGAACACTAAGAAAGCACTATTTCTCGAAATTACACTGAACACTAAGAAAGCACTATTTCTCGAAATTACACAGAACACTAAGAAAGCACTATTCCTCGAAATTACAACTCCGGTGAGAAAAACAATTAAACAAGCCGAAAGTTTCGTTCCAATTAACTACTTTGTAAAAAAAAAAAAAAAAATCATGTGGGAGGAGAGAAAAAAATTTTTTTCTGTGCGAGACATTACAACAAAGTTGGATATTTCACTAGCTTGGAGAGAGAAATGTGACCACACACACTGAGTTTAGCAAACGAAAGTAGCCTCTGATGTGAGTGTTCTCAACCTGGGTTCCCAGGAAGCCGGTTCCAGGAACCGCAAATTCTCAACCCAGTTTCAGGAACCCAGTTCCAGGAACTGGAGTCCCAGGAGCCCAAGCATTCCCCGAGCTCCCGAATTTCCTCACAACCACACCTGCCCTCAATGAGTATTTTCCCAGTCTGAGCACTATCTGAGCAGATCTCCCCCACCTATTGATCGCCTAGAGACGCTTTGCAGCAGCCAGGCATGGGCGCCGCCATAATCGACCTTCAGTTTTTGTTTCCTCTTTTTCTGTTTATTTCACTTCATCGTTACGACAGCAGGACCAGGTTACATTACCACTCTAGATTCTACTGTGTCCTTCTCCCCCGCACAGGCGTTTGTGGAGGCTCATCAATGCCCGCTTCGGTGGCTCAGCATCTCGTAAGACAAGAGGAGGTCAGCAATGGCGGCTGTAATTTGGCGCGTGTGTAAAGCACCTGGCTATGTGTCAAACACTCGTCAATACAAGCACTACTGTATTCATGGGCGTCACACTTCTGGATCTACTCACCTGTCCCGGCCTGGGCTCGGGGACCTTGGAGTTGACGATGGGCAGCCAGTTGGAGTTGATGTCGTCCTGGCCCTTGAAGTTGCCCTCAAAGGCGCGCTGGACGTCCTCCAGGCTGAAGGCACACACCGCCGAGCCGCTCAGGCTGTTGCTGTGAGGTGGAGACAGAAACACGGATGGCGGTTGGGCAGGTCGTGCTTTCCACCGCAACCAAGGACACTATCATATTTACCGGACTACTCAAGTTTAAAAGTAGACATTCTAAGTCGAGCGGACTGTCTAAAGGTGCAAACTATATGAGGATTTGTTTTTCAAAATCGCTACCGTAACAAACTGAGCGTGCGGCCATGTAACAATAAGTAGACAAACACTACTTTTGAAGCGTTATAAAAATGAGCAGAGGGTGTATCGAGGGCCCAACCGAGACTTCCGAGCACACCTGGCTGCCAGAGATGCTCCAACGTGTAAGTCGCTCCTTCGAGCACGTCGGCGCTATGTGGCTAAGCTCGACTAGCATGCACTGGTTGTAAGCTGTAAAGCCCGGCCTACCTTAATGGCCCTCCCTGCATTTTTGTTCCGAGACCTTACAAGTGCTTTTCCTCCAATTTTTCAAGATCCTCCCTAGCTTTTGGGTGGGCGCTTGATTGGTATCTTATGGTAGTCAAATTGTCGTTTTTGTCTGGCACAGCTGTCGAGATCACGCTGTTTGACGCACTAGTCGGCACGAAAAGCTAAGGCTGTCAGCGTTGCATTTGTTTACAGTCCACCGCAGGCGACGCACAGGGTAGCTGCACCCAGGAGGACAATGTGGATCAAGCCTGGACTTGATGGCAGAAACATCCCTTGCTTTTGGTTGTCAAAGCATTATTACAAGTAAGTTAAGTGGCTGCAGAGTCCTTTAGGAACTATGGTCGTGATACCTCCGAAAAGAGATCAGCTTTCACTCGTTTTTGTTCCTCTTAAAACAATACAAATTATGAAAACGATACGTACCGTAAGAAAAAAGACAAATTCACATTCGTGTTGTTTTGTTAGTAGGCACAAAGTGCAATTTGTTGAAAATTATTGACTCACAATTTTTAGCAGAAGTGAGGCCTGAACAAAGCGTAAACTATCTATAAGCAAAAACAATTTTTTTTTCCAGCTATATTTTTGTTCCTGCAAACTACAGTGTGAAAAATACAATATTCTTGTTTTTCGTTAAAGGTACTTCCATTATAATGTTGTGGCATCCATACGAACAGCATGCACTGAAGAGAATGAGAAGCTCTTGAAGGCCACTCACTGGGGTGTGGTGAAGACGCTATAGATGAGCTTGGCATCCTTGCCATTGTATGTGCCCTCCACAATAGGACTGGTAGACTCTGCAACAAAAGCAGACATGACGCCAGCGCAATCCAATCCAAATTAATTCTGTGCCCCCAACTTCACAAAATGAGCCACATAAGCTGTGCCCAAAAGGTATGAAGTGCAAGATTGGAGTTGCACCCTCCCGATAGGATATCTATAGCACAGTAAACTCATCAAGAAGGTCTGCCAGACAATTTTTTTTTAACCAATAGTAGTTCCTATTGGCAATTAGTAGGCATTCCTATTTGACCCATAGTTTGACTACAGTTTCTATCGATCAAGTAGAAATATTTATAAGACCAACAGACCAACAATAGTCTAGTAGTACCAAGAGACCTCTCTCTACAGGTTCAATAGAATTTCCTACCGAACTGCTAGAAATTGAGACCGGTTCAACAGAAATCTCTATTGGAATTTTCACTAGTTGGTTTTTGATAACTAAAGCTGGAATCGGTCATATTCTGAGCCAATTGAAACATATCCCGAATAATTTGATAGGATGGCTATCATTTTAATTGCCTTGTAAATCGCTTTAATTGAAAAACAAAATATGGCTAACTCATACTTCTCGAACCTCAGGCGAGGTCTTAAAGAGGCCCTGCAAGGACTTTTTTACTGGTTTTTAATTTGCACCAAACTGAGTGCACTGAATGTAGTAACTTAATGAAACTTTTCTTTTCTCAAATTTCGCTTTATTTTAAAAGTTATAGGCAAATTAAATTTACAAAAACAAGCAAAAAACAACCCCCTTCATGACGTCCTTGGTCGCTTGAGTGGCTGTGAACTAGAAAAGCTCAGTGAGCGCTCACGGCTGCCGCACTCCGTGTCGACGGCTCCAGAGGGCACCACTAAAGCATATTCTGAATGGGCTGTATGAAGCAAGCAGCCAGGGTGGCTCGCATTGCATTTGCTGCGCGATTTAAACACTAATTCGGCATGACACTTCATTGGCCACAAACGACAGCAAACACGGGGTAAAGATCAGTTCAGAACGGGAGCCACTTCGCGCTGCCGTACCGCCAAATGGCCAAACCTTCTCGCCGAAGGCCTTCGTAACGCTCGGAACCGGTCTGATCCCAGAGTCCGTATACGACCACAGCGCCACCGCGTACATCCGGGACCTTTCTACGCTTGACGCTCGTCGGTGCCTGATCCCACTATTCCTTTCTAGTATGTGCCGCCTCTTCCACCGCTTAGTGGCAGATATGCCAACAGGTCATTTCTTGTTTCTGTACTTTATAAACTGCATTTGTTCTTTTCCGATCTAAGATACTGAACGAAAATTACTTTCTCAAAAATGATTGAAATGGTTCGCGCCACTTGTATTTTGTATTTCGACTAAAAAGAAGCTTTTAGCGGGTCTGACCAGTAGTAAGCACAGGACCTAAGAGTTCACATTTCGTGCGCTTTCGGCACCGCGGGTCAACCCCGTAGGCGGAGGAGGTTTGCATGTTGTCGGGTTAAAATGTGACGCACTGACATTTAGTTACTCTCTCCGTGCCCGCTGGCTTGTCCGAACCCCAAGAGACATGGAAACCGCAAAAAAGGTAGACGCTTAAATATGATTGCAGGGCCCCTTTAAAGCTTCAAATAGAACCCATCAAACCACAATGATGGCACCATGACCTAGCAATAAGTAGAATACCATTTTCAAAGAATCCGAAATAGATAACGGCTCCATGCCATTGTCACATTCATAACCGAAGAAGTTCAGCTTTAATTTTAGTGCGCCGAGCAAGCAGGTAATAACTAAGATGCATTTCTGGTCTGTCTATCATTTACATACCTTGCCTTTTTAATACAATGCGGAGAATAGATAGAGAGTGGTTCTCACGGATCTCGTTGAAGTAGAAGGGGATGTCTCCACCGACGGAGCAGTTGAGGCGGGCCTTGAGGAACGAAGTCCAGCGCTGCTGAAACTTGTGTGGACCACCCTTGTCCCTGGTGCACACCCTGGCCACCCTCGAGTACACCGTCTGCACATCCACCAGCGTCATATAACCGTACACTGAATGATCCACATTAGAAAAAATTATTGCGCTTCATCGATCTGCCGCCCAAATGTCCCGTAGGCAGAATACACCATCCATATATTACCAAATCTGGGCAGTATGACAACTCGCAATAATGCCTCGTGCATGGCCTAAAGGGAACGCTATTCCGAACTTCTAGAAGGTTTGTGCGTTTACTCTTACCCCAAACGTTCTTACGCTCAAACATTTAAGGCCAAATATTCGAGATACTGAGCGTAGAAGATGAGGAGCCCAGCGTGGCCAACTCACTCTCGCGTGCTAGCCAGCGTTCACACTGACACCTGGATGCTCGCAGCTTCTTCCTCGACACTCATCCTTTCTTTTGTTTCTGGTACAAGTTTGCCGATTAACTCTTTTTTTTTCCATTTCACGCTTGTCTATCCTTTTCCATCCGCGACAATACCACAATGTCACAACGCGACAACAATATCACAATGTTACGTCGCCATGACCCGACACCCAATGTTACTAGATCTCTACTAATAACCGTGACATCACATGACACCATGACATGACGCAATGACGTGACATGGTGGTATACGTGACCTTGCGTGGCCCAACACATGCTATTCGGTCAACTGACCATATGACCCATAGTGGCATTCCGCTAAATGTAGCAGGACGTTAACCTGCTGAATTCAGCTTATGACGAAACGATACGGTGATGCAACACATATTCCCACTTTGCTTCAATTAAAAATTTCAAATGCATTCTGCGTTAAAAAAAAAAAAAAATAAAGATGTAGAAATTCTGAAATTGTGAGGCATTTGACTCGGACATATTTGATTGTAGTAAAGAGTTCAATGCACATAGACCGAGCCTCGACTCACTCTGCACACAAGCTAAGAGATGGAGATGTTAATGCTTCCTGAAGTGAGGTCACAGCAAGAAACAAAACACATGCATGCCTTTTTGTATCTTGAGGTGTTTAGGTGGCGTCTTTGCTTTCATTTCAAGATTGACCCTTCATTCTCTTACACACGCTGAGCCACCCGAGGACTGATACTTTCACGTGGAATCCCGCAACTTGGAAAGTGTGGGTCTGCCACCCACCTTGCCGCAGTTGATGTATTCCACGGCCGACTCCCGGAAGAAGAAGTACACATAGTCTTCGAAGTAGATGGAGCTCACAAAGTTGGGCGCTGGAAAAAAGAAAAAAACATAAAAATTGTTCGTGATATTACGCACATCACATCGAAAAAGCCAAGCCAATATGACAAGCTGCAGACTGTTTGCTAAAGGCTTTTGAAAACAGGCACCCGCTTTCCCGCAGTGAGAAATTTGCAGGCGGGCGAGTCGGTGTGTGCTACGAGGAAAATAAAACGGTGCAAGTAGCAGGTGCAAGAACAGGTGGAAAGAGTGCTGCGTCTGTGTGCTCCTTACGCTTGTCCTCGTCTTTTTTTGCACCACTTTACTTCCCTCGTAACCTGCCTGCTTTTCTGCATCTTAGGTATCAGGAACTAAGAAACTAATACGGCTCTGTAGAGGAATGTTTAAAGAGCACATACTAAAATTCCTTTTCAGCAAAAAAGGGAAAGCAAATTACACATTTGTGTTTCGGCAGCCCAAAAGTCGGTTTGCTTTTGAGTTATGGCGACCCTGGTTGATGCTGTAGATGAAACTTGGTTTAGTCAGCGCAGTATGACTGCTAGCCTGGAGTCTTTGACGTGCGTCACGCAGTAGGGATACATGACCGCACTCCGAGTGATGCTTATCAAGATGGAGATGGGCAGGGATGGGGATTGAGCCCGAGATCCCTGGGATCTGCTGCGTGAGCCTTTGCCCCATGTGCTGCAAGTCGCGGTGCGCTAACATGCTCAACCAGCTATTCCCCTTCATTTTTTACCGCACATAGTCACAAGTATGTCGTCGATCTAGCTTGACTACTTACACTAGCTGTCCGACAGCCGCACTTTTGAAGTTAGAAAACTTGGTAACTGGTTATGTCAGACAAGGCACAAAATGTGGGCAAGATGACAAAACAAGTTTTTTTTTTTTTTTTTTTTTCAAAACACTCTATACTTGGTATGCCGCAACAAGATGACATACAGTTAAAAACAATGCACGAGACATCAAACTGTCCTCAAAGGGGTCGTGAAACGTTTCCCCGAAATTCCGAGTTATATACGTCTAGTTGGAATCCTAGTCCTCTACTACATAAGCCACATTCATTCGTTCCATCGTCCGCATTCGTTTACTAGAGTGAAAAAAGAGAACTTTGTTTCCCGGGCAGCTTGCTTCTCGATTCTACAAATACGCTGAAATAGGTAACCAATAGGAAATTTTTGTTTTCTGCTCAAGATGGCAACATAGACAGGACTCTATAGACGAAGCCAGAGAGTCAAATATCGCTGCAACGGCGGTGCCATAATAATGTCACGCACGCGAGTGAACAAATGACACCTGACGTCCGATCTTTATGCTCAGATAATTGTAAGATGGCCAACCTCGTCAACCTTTAGCTGATTTAGCGTCGCCTATTTCATCATGGTCACCTTTTAGGTTTCGAGCCGTACGCCGACCCTGTGTGTTGTTTGTGCAACTGTATGTCGTGATATAAAGGAGAGTTGGGGAGGGAATCGTTTGCAAATCGGATCGGTCAAGCCGCGTCCCAGTCCGGTAGTCAAATGACGAGCTGCGAATACATTCTCGCTTCGACCAGGAGAGTGCCAGTCCGCTCGAAGAAAAAGGACGAGAGGGCTGGAAATATAAGCGAAATGAACAGCCTTTGCATGCTTGAGGATCCGCATGTCAAGTCACTGCTGAAAAACATTGTGGTAAAGGAAAGTTGATAGAAAACTCACGACTGCCAGATGTGTGAAGGTCTTAGATACTATGTCTTATGGCTGACCTGCAAAAATAAACAGCTCCAAAACGGATGTGCTGATGATCGAGAGGTAAAGCACGCACGTCCTGCCTTCCTACTGATTTTGTGAAGTTCTGGGTTTGAATCCTTAGGGGTTATAACTTTTTTATTGCTTAACTTTATGTTTTATTCTAACTGTAATACACCAATCAGGTTCCACAACTGCATTACACAGCACATACGAGCCGTGGCGGGAAGATCAGTAGAGTTACGAGGGTCACCAAACGGCAGAAGGGAGTGTTTGAAACCGAAACTGTACCAGCATCACATGATATGGTGGCATACAATTAACACCAATAAATGACTCAATGTTTTCATCCCTCCCAATTAATTATTTGAATATTAAAATATTAAATGAAGTTGAAAATCTGTTCAACCTTTTTACATAGCTATCATAAAGTTTTGTTGTTCATGCTGCCAAGGGGTGTCGCACGGTCATTTCAGACAGTAAAAAAACAAAACAAGATTTTTAAACATAGTTCATATAGCGCAGGCGCAATATTTTGCCGAAATACTTCGAAAACAATGTCTTCGTGGCAATAAGCTCCATCAGATACATTTTGTTTTCATGACTGCTTTAATAAAGTGATAATGTAAAAAGGTAATTAGTCATTACTTGTTTATACAGTGAGAAATTAGTCTGCCTGAACATGGTGGCATTGTTACCTACTGTAGATGTGAAATTTAGCCAGTGCAGCAACACCACTAGCCTGGGGTCTTTCACACACATCACGTAGCAGTGATACACGACCGCCTGCCGGTACAATGAAGTGACAATGACACCATGCAGAAAGACCCGTCAAAGTCCTTCCAGGTAATCGGACGGGCACAGAGATGGGCATAGCTACCCATCCCTATGTGACTTCCCTTCGCCAGCCCGCACCGTGACAACTTTCAGGGAAGCTCCGAGTAAACGGAGAGGGGACGACGACACGTACCGTTGAGGTGCTTCAGGTCCGAGGGCTCCGTCCTGAGCGGCCTTCTGTGAATGAGCGGGTCCGCACCCGAGAGCTGACCCACCGTGGCCACGTAGAGGTCGCCATCTGCAAGCACCCGCGACACAGGCTTAGCACGGAGGAAGCCCTGGCACAGTTCATCCAAGACAAGCACAGACGAGCGACACTAGGGGCCAAGAGCATTGGCTTCAAGTTACACTAAATTAGCCAGTTTGACGAGGGGGTAACACTGCCAGGATCGCAGCCGACGACGGTGCGACGCTTTTACGACGACATCGAACACAAAATGAGGGTCCACTTTTGAGGACGCTGTAAACGCACTGGTGGAGGTGCACATCATGCACGATAGTACCAAGCAAAAAGCGCAGCTTGTCAAAATGTGGACGTCTCGTCGCTATATATCTGGACGATCCACTCGGCAGCCAAGAAGTGCTGCGAGCTATGAAAGAAGCTTTCTAGGCAAGTGCGGGCGGATCAAGAACAACCCTCTCAAAAGTGCAGGCTCTCGGCGGCAGTTTTAAACAAAACACAAATGGAGTGTGAACGAGCTGCATTTTTTTTGCAGATGAGAAGCGGTTCTTGGCTGTGACCTTGACCTACAGCAAGATATCTCTTAGGCAAAGCTTTGAGAAACCATAGGCAAACTGCAACAATTGTTAAAAGACGCTCCCACATTTCTGAAAAAAAAAAAAAGAATGTCTAACTATTGAAGTTTGTCTTAATTAGTAAGATTCCTGTCCAAGTTTTTGATGCAAGACAAAATGAAGTTGGACTTCTGAATCAGCACTGACCATGCGTGCTATTACAGCTAAAATCAATGCCTAAGAAAGCATATTTAAAAGTCTGGATCAGATTGTTAAACAAGCTGCTGGTGCCACAACATATTATATATATATATATATATAATATTTATTTTATATTTTCCATAAAGGACGCATTTGTAGTAGTTGGTAGGATTCACTAAGGTCCAAATATGCGTGGCTCCGAGTCCTCTTGCTATGGTGTATACATCGTGCACATTGCCCTGCTGATACCCCTCATGGTTTAAACGTCTCAAACATTTCAATGGCTCTCCGCCCTTCTGACTGCCGAAACGAGAGCGCAAGATTGAGCCGGAGTTTAATAGTACACTATTAAAACGACATACTCCCGTCGCAGCACACTCAACTCGAACCGCATAAAGTCATTGCTTGTTAGGAACGTTTCTGTAAGACAATCGCACTAGATGGCAAAAAACTTTGCATGACACACACACACAACAGAGAGTAGTTGTTACCTGTTCGGCGTGACAGGGGTCCTGTGTCCCAAGGCAGCGTGACAGACAAGACAAGACAGGGCTAAGCAACAAAGTCATCTATGTCTGCCAAGCCACACGGCAGCAAAGAGCTTCGTTTATACAGCAAATGCGAGAATTTAGATACGACGTAAAACACAAGATGAAACCGCCCAACACTGAAAAAGAAGAAAGCGTTTTTCCTGCCTCATAACGATAGAGACAATAAAATTGCTTTTTCACTTTGGGTACCCAAGGCTCAGAATGAATGCTTCACAATCATAATGCACTGGACATGGATTATAGTTTATGCATACAAAAAACACTTTGGTGCACCTTTTAGAAAATATAATCAAGCCTATAACAATACTTCTAAATTTTAGTTTTTTCCTAATATAATAACTGCATGCAACCCAGTTACCAAAGAACACCGTTGATAATGCCTTTGTGAAATGAACTATTGCAAGTTTGAAAGCTTTCCTGGCATGACAATGCTTTCTTGACATAGGTGTTCCTGGCGTTTCCCCAGTGCTACATTCAATTTATATGCTGTTCACTGCTGCTAGCAGACGAGTCTGCAGTATTGAAAAATCTTTATGGAAGCTTAATCGAGCTGACAAAGACTGTGGAGCACCAAACGCATTAAGCGCTAACATTTTTGCTGGATGAATGCAAAGTTCTGATGTGGATGTACATATATGTACACCCACAATTTAGCGGAGAAATTGAGCTCACATGGTGTGGTCACGTGATGTCAATTTTCCCTCCAAATTTTAGGGGGAAATTGAATGTGGTGCTTGAACGCTGTGAAAGTGGCTGACAATTAAACACATTTTGTGCTGATAAATAAACATAAATAACAAATGGGCCACAGGAAATGAAAATGGAGGGACAGAATTTGGGTTAAGCTTCAAACGCAACACTACAAACGGATTTACCATAAATAGGGGTCGACCTTTGTGAAAGTGAGACTCGGACAACGTTGCAGTCGCTCAACTGTCAGATTTTAACACATTACTAAGCGGCCAGGTCTGTCAACCCTGTCTCCAGACACCTCGTAAGACAAAGGTGTCCCAAAACAATTGCCCAGCTTTAAAGGCCACAGCGCGCACGCGATACCCGAGACAAGGCCCCTCACCGTGACCTCTACCCCAAAACCGGCCAAGCTCGAAAGGGCATCCCAAGCGTGACGGGCGCCTCTGTCGGGAGGCTGGCACAATTGTTTGAAGCGTCGTTGCACTTCAAAAACTGCGCCCCCTGTTGCCAAGCCCGCGTTGTGAAAGGCAGACATTAAGCCGACTTGCTTCTTTAAGCGGTCTCAGAGAGACGCTCCTGCCCTGCTTACGGTCATGTTTCAGGGCTGTGGTCTGTAAGGAACACTTTGCAAGAAAGTTATTTTCTAGGATACCTTTCTACTCCCTTCATGTTACATCTATAAGATATTAAAGGTTGGTTCACACATTTACATTCAAGAGTGACCAACTGTATTGCAGCAGCTTACAAGTGTTTACAAAGAGAGCACACCAGCGCACGGTCACACGGTGTCCGTGTGCTGGTGTGCTCTCTTTTGATCCGCCTACAACCTATTGATGTGACCTTTTGATCCGCCTACAACTTTTTGATGTGACCTTTTGATCCGCCTACAACTAGACTAAAGGTATTGTGGTATTTGAAAGATCAAATCAATTTTATAATAATGCAAAAATTACTTAGAGCATATATTGAAACAATGTTCCATAATGTATATATATGCAGATCAGAAGTGTTGCAGGCCTACCCAATAGACAAACTTGGTGTTTTTCCTTGTCGTAAGCGGGGCTACAAGCAGCCGCAACACAGCTGATCACAATCAAGGCAAATGTGTGGACCAACTCTTAGCGAAACCATTTCTAGTTTCTAAACTAAAAGGGAGCCATTTTCTGACTCTTCTCCTCACCAATCTTAATTTGCCAGAATCGGCCTTTCGATCAAGTCGATCAAGATAAAGAGTGGGATTACACTATCTCGACCCAAGCAGACCTACTAAGCCAAGGAATGCTTTGAGGGGCCACAGAAGACTGACCAGCAAAGATGGCCGTGCTGTTGTTCTTGGGGTCGAAAGGACACAGACCTTCCCCAGGCTTGTCCTCTTTTATCAGGTATTCGCCGTCCTGCGGAAAAAGCAATGCCGTAGCTGATCACGCCATCCAACTTCACATATCTATGTCTTAACGGCACGCAGCGGTGCCCAAATTGAACATTAGGGAATGTTATAAAATGTAGAGTGAACAGAGAACATACCTGAAAAACCTCATAGTCCCTGCAGCGTGGCTTGTAGGCGTTTGTGCCGCAGACGAAGATCACAGTCGCTGACTTTCGTGCTAGCACCCTGATGTAGTTTTGGCAGTCCTCCTGAGGTTTAAAAAGACAAAGTTATTCTCTACTAAAAACTGAAAGCATTTCCAGAAGCTCTAAAGACGAGATTATCCTAGAGCTGGGTTTGAAAAGATTATTACTTGCAAGTTTTATACATTACTGTATTCAGTCAACCAACGAAAAAAATATTTACGACACAAAACCTGACAACCTTTGAAGCGAAACTAACACTTAAAGGGAAGCTACGGAGCTTCTTGAAAAAAATGAGTTAGAAGTGAATTCTAGTGTATTTTTACCCCATGAACCCGAATACCGAAACCATTTGCTGCGTAAGTATTGTTAAACGCGAGAAAAACGCGAAAGGCAGTCGCTGTCCGTGACGTCATCGACGGCTCTTTTGGCTGCCCAAGGCTAGAGAGGCAGGGCTTCAGCCCTATTTTGAAATTGCTCTTGTCGCTCTCCGGCGCGTCGCATTGGAATATAATTTTGATATCTGTTATTCTAAAGGCCAAATGAATGCAATTCAAGCATTTTTTTTCAAATGTAGAAGTGCCCCATCTTCCCTTTAAATTGCCAACCTCTTTTATTAAAATGGTTCTTTCACCAATACTGGAATGACACCTATGAGACAAAAGGTGTACAGATGTCATTTCATACCTGAAGAGAGCATATATGAACTCGATACCATATGTTCGTTTACAGAAAATATACTAATGATTTTGCGATCACTGCTATCAGAACACAGAGGCTCCAGTTTCAATTCCTTCCGTGCAATCTTGATGTACATTTTTTGAGTCACGATTGCAGGAATTCAGCCCACTTGAACCCCCCTCAACATTGTCAGAAACCTTACCTCTGTCTTCCCTTTTAACTTGCACATCTTGATGTCATCACTCTTTGCAAACCATTCCAGCTTCTGCAAAACAAAAGTATTCCAGAGACACTTCACAAAACTTGCACTGGTAACCTACTAGGAAATGTAAGGATACCACAAAAGGTGATATGCATTGAAGACGCTATAAAAACACCGAATGATGTTTTTATAGCCTCTTCATTGAAGCAATCCACAAATATCCAAGCTGGCATAGTGCAGCGTTTTCTACATCAACACAGGCTTCTGAGCAATGCTAATTAAAGACAAATACAATATCGAAAAAAACCTTCACTCCCTTTTAAATTTTTCTTTTTTAATATGGATGCTTGAGCTCCAACTGCTGTCTGTATTTAATATTTCATAAACTCGCATCACACTTACACCACCGAACAAGGAGGCATGAGTGAGTCCATTGTCCGTCTATCCGGCCCTATACTTGGCATCAACTACTTTGTGCTATGTTGTCGTGGCTAGCGTAGCTTCGGTAATGCTCCAACTCTGTCAAAGCAATTTGCATGAGGGCATGCAAATGAGACATACGACGAAGCCCGACGCTCTCGCATCAGTGGGGGCTGTAGCCCTACAAATGCTATCCTAGCCTCGACAATGTAACACAAATAGGTGACGTCGAGTACAACGTTGCTGCACTGTAGCTTACAAAAAAAGAACAAAAAAAAAAATGCAACACAATATATTTTAAGCGTCAGTTTACTTACTTTCCGTAGCTCTAACGTAGAAAGGCTGATGTTGTAGACAACATTTCTGCGGGAGGAACAAACAATGCTGCTGTTACGAAACAGCGAAGTCTTCCGAAATTCCTACCAGTAGGATGGTCGAGAAAAAGGAACCCTTTTTGGGAATAAACTGCCAGGCACAGCAGGAAATGCACAAATTAGCTAAATAATTACCTAAAATTAACTAGCCAAACTTTTTGATTGGTGAAACTATACATTATGGTTCCAGTTAGAAACTCGCCGAGCGTCGTCGAAAACTTCTAAATCGGTAAATTTTAGGAAGACATAAAGCGCGTGCGATGCATGGGGGTGGACTAAAGTTTCCACTGACACGCTGAAGGCACGGCAAGGCAAAAATGCGTATGACTTTCTTGTTGTCTGCGTCGTTGTATTGCCAACCTTGTGTCTGCTGCACGAGTAAAAACTTTGGTGCCCATTACCCGCTTCCCCCTAAAACTGACCGATTTAGGGGTTTTTGAGTACACTCAGCAAGTTTCTAATTACGACCATACATTTACTTTCACTAATTAATAAGTTAATTCGGGTTTTCTTGGTTAAACATTTATCTACTGAGTATTTTTTGGCGACCCCGGACGCCACTGTGGCTTGCATTTTGAACCTGCAAAGAGTTTATTTTTTCTCAACTACTCTATTATAGGAATTTCTGAGGTATTCACTGAAATACCCAATAGACGTTTTGCCAAATTACCCAAGCATCAAAAAGAATGCCGGGAAAGTAGGTACACGCGCTGCGCGTGATGGCGTCTTCAGCTCTAACTGTTCGAAAGGAAACATCTAAAACAAATGGCACTTCGCACGCACGTTTCACGGACGCTTTATTTGTTTTATTTGCTTCGAATCTTTTCCATAGGGAAGGCAAGCACGTGCAGTGCGTGTACTTGCATTCCCAACATTCTCTTTGATGCTTGGGTAATTCAGCAAAAGGCCTATATAACTATATTTCAAATGTAGGAATTTTTATAATTTTTTTTTAAAATCTGAGTATTGCAACCGAAGCACTAGCACACTACAATTCTAATTAGCCTTAATATATTACGAGTGAAAGTACAGGGGGGTGGGGAAAGATCAGGAAGCAGGTTGAGGATGCCAACTATTTCTACAAAGCGGAAAAGCTCCACAAACCAGAGCAGTGGATGTAATCTAAATTCATTACATTTTGCTCTGAGCAGCCTTTCTAACTAACGATAATGAGTGACTGCCGAGACATAATAATACAATTCTAGAATACATTTTTTCCTGATCATTAAATTTGTTATTAAATTAGCATTACATGGCTATCTATATACGCCAATGTAAATGAACTACAGTGGAGTCAGCCTACCTTGCTTGATCCATTTGATTCATGCAAGATGTTATAGACCAATTTTTTGTAAATTGCAGCTACTGTAAAGTTCCGAAAGAACATCCACCCCCGAGAGATCGCCCTTACCATTATTCTGGCTAAATATCTGTAACATAAAATTTCCGAAACATCGCCCCACCCCCCCGATTTCCCTCGTACGTCACGCAATATCCGACGGAAATCGAATCCGCCGCGCCATCTCCAGTACCGGTACGTCTGATGAGCGAGTTTGTAGCGGGTTCCCATGTTTTTGTCCGTTATCTGCGCATCGTTATCGCATCGTGAAACGCGAATTTGCGGTGTCTGTGATTGGAATATAAATTTCCGCGTCGCGTGGTCTGTAGCGGGTGCCCGGTAACTTCTGATAAAGTTTTGCTGTGGCATTCCCAAAGATAGCCCACCCCATGTTTTTCACCATTTCTCTTCATTTTGAGCGGGCATTCTTTCGGGACTTTACGTAATCAGCAAAATTTACGAAAATTATGTCTCACAAAAATTAAGTCGTGTAGAGAAATTCACTCACATAAATCGTATTACTCCAAGCGGCAAATAATAATTAACAAAATACTTCTAAAAGTATTCGATTAGAGGTGATTCAACTAATTGAGGTTAATCATATCCATTCACGTCTGGCAGAAACAAAGCAAATATAAAAGAAATTTAAATTAGGGTATTTCGGGTAAACAATTTCCCGCTCTTTGCAGTGCCCTGCACATGAACTGCAGCAACAGCCGAGGCAGTGCCCACTCTTCCGCACACAAGCATTGTCCTGCTAAATTTAGCTGATAAATCATGGTGCTAAATTAAGCAAGGTAATGACCACTAAATTTATAAGAGAAAATTTTTCTGCTAAACATTACGGTGTCACGGGGCACCGTGATGTCAACCCCCCCCCTCCATGCCATGACAACCCTACGACAAACCTCAGGATCTGCTGTGAAACTTCGTCAATAGGGAGTTTTTACAGATCGTCAGGGATGGTGGCAGAGGGAGAAAAACTGACTAAGAAAACTCCCTGCTAGGGAATTCTCAGACCATGAAAATCGAATTAAAACTCCCTAATAAAAATTTACCACAAATTGTCGGGGACCGTAGAGGAGGGAGAGAAACTGACTATGAAGACCCCCAATTAGGAACTTTTCTGACAATGAAAATCTATGAAAACTCCCCAATGGGGCATTTTTGTAAACCACTCCCTAATAGGGAGTCTTCATATATCGATTATCCCATCCCGCAATGCTCCATTTGTGGTCCAGAACTCTGGAGGCAAGGCTAGCGGTGTACATGCTTAGTGGCAAAGTTTTTGTTGTAAAAAGCGTAGCAGGGGAAGGGGGGAAACGGCCTCTGGAAAATCCCTTATAGAAAGTTTTGTATATTCCACCCATAACTCCAATAACGACAACAGATACTCCACTAACACATTTGCAAACACATCACATAGTTATCTGGAATCTATCAGGGGTATTGAAACGATTTACTGAAAATTCCCTAATAACGGCTGCCACCGTAAAAGAGGCGTATTGGGGGAACAACCCGACCGGCCAATCGGGGGCTCCCAGCTCACCTGGCGCCCACGAGGAGGTTGTGGCCGTCCTGCTCTAGAAGCCGGAAGTGGTCACTGTGCGTCTGGTTGCCACGGAACTTGCCCACGAGCTCCACAGCTGCAACGAGACCAAAGGACAAACGCTTAGACACGAGCCAACAGCTTTTTGTCACTTTTTGCCGGGGGAGACAAACTACCCGGTCAAGCAATACAAAAGTCGGGTGTGATCCAAGGACCACTGAAAACCATTTCGGCCATGAAAAAACAACATAGTAGATCTGTGTAAATACAATTATCAAGTGATGCAAAGACCAGAAGCCTTGTACAGACCACTCAAGACCATTTAAGGCATGAGAAAACAATACAAAGGCATGTAAAAACAAGGATCAAGTGACACAAAAACCACATGCCATCTAAAGCCTATTCAAGACCACTTTAGCCATAAGAGCAATTCATGCAAAAATGATTATCCAGTGCTGTAAAGGCCACCAAGACCATTTAAGCCACAAAAAAATAATGATTATGCGACACAAGAGTCCTGTAAGGCTCAAGGTCATTCAAACCACGTTGAAGCAACCATTGTGAATAAATATTAAAGCATTTTATGCCTTGCTAAAACTAAATAAGAATGATCTAAAGGCAAAAAACCACAGCAAGGCATCCACGTCTTTCTCTTCGGGTTTCCGTCCCCTGTTCCTTCATGCCAAATTTTCAGATGTTTGGACAAATGGAAATACATAAGAAATTTTGCGTACCGGTGGAGCGATGGTCAAGGAATATAGTCGCCCCCAGATGCACTATATTCACAAGGTTAACAACAGAGCAAAAACTAACCTCCCTGCCAGCTGAGAAAAAAAAAAGCATTGCAGTCAGGGAATTTTGGAGATCAGCAGGTCTGCAGCAATAACACCTCAAATATGACATAAAGAAAATGACCGAAAATTTGTTGGAGCAAATATATTTCATAAATACCATGTCACACTCTGCATGTGCTTACATATGGTAAAATACGTAAAGAGGCCCACCCAAAATGAAGAGATAAATTGGGAAAAACATGGTATGGGCTATCTTTGGGGATGCCACAGCAAAACTTTATCAATTAATGATAAGCACCTGGGCACCCGCTACAAACCACATGACGCGGGAACTGATACCGCAGATCGCGGACACGGCAAATTCGTATTTCACGATGCGCTAAATACGTGGGAATTCGCTACAAAACTCCTAGCTGTGTCACAGGAAAGGATACCCCAAGATGGCCGACGCACCAGATTCGCGTTTCACGGTGCGACCCTACTGAAAAAAACCATTTGGCGCCCATATGAAAATAAACGGGTCCATACCGGTAACCGTTTAACCATACTGGTCACCAGTTTGTCAAAGGGGTCGCCCGTATGGCTCAAAGGGGTCCCCCGTATGAGCCATAACGGTCACCTATTTGGCAAACGGGTCGCTCGTCTGGGCAAATGGGCGACTCGTTTGGGCAAAGTTGTCGCACGTTTGCTCAAACCGGCGACCATGTTGCAAACTGCACCGGTTTAATCAAACGGCTCCCCGGAGCCCGTTTGATATTGAACGTACAGATCGGCGGCGTGGGCACGCCTAGCGTTTCAGCCGTGGCAGCCAATGTTTTCCGGAAGGCTGGGAGCGCCGGTTCATCGATTTCAGATCGTCCGCTTAATGCAAGTAATTATATTCATATTTCAATTACGCTGATTTTCGATCATACTGCAACTAAAACTAACACCTTTTTTTTTTGTTTTACGTAAACGCGCGACGTTGGTGAGCCGATATTTTTGACAGACCTTTAATACTTTGTCCATCTTTGTTGCCTCAATTTACTTATTCAGCTCGAATCTCTCTCGCAGAAGACGCGACCGCGTGAAAGAATGTACGTCTAGACTCCGTTTCACTTTAATTCAAGACGCAGCGAAGGTACCACGCGTACACGCGGCTGCAAGAACATCGAGCATTGCGAGAGCACGCACGCCGTTGCAGCACTCAAACTACGAGCTTGCGCTGAGTTCTTTCTTCGCTCGGGTAATTATATTCATATTTCAATTACGCTGATTTTCGATCATACTGCAACTAAAACTAACACCTTTTTTTTTTTGTTTTACGTAAACGCGCGACGTTGGTGAGCCGATATTTTTGACAGACCTTTAATACTTTGTCCATCTTTGTTGCCTCAATTTACTTATTCAGCTCGAATCTCTCTCGCAGAAGACGCGACCGCGTGAAAGAATGTACGTCTAGACTCCGTTTCACTTTAATTCAAGACGCAGCGAAGGTACCACGCGTACACGCGGCTGCAAGAACATCGAGCATTGCGAGAGCACGCACGCCGTTGCAGCACTCAAACTACGAGCTTGCGCTGAGTTCTTTCTTCGCTCGGGCGCAAGCCGAGCTTCTGGCAGCCCCGCCGCCATTTCCAAAGTTCGAGCGCGCGCGCGCGCGCGCGTTTGTTCTTCGGGACTACAAAAACGCATCTCCCTGGAATGCCTGGGGAGAGGGAGAGGGGCCGTCCCGGTGGTCCCAGCGCCTTGACCTCGCCCCCTCCCTCCTCTCTTGTCACCCCTGTCACGTGACCCACAGCAGCGCGCGAGCTACACGCTGATAAGCATCGAGATCCGGAAGGGCGCGCCTTGCAGCCACTTTTTTCTTTGTCTGCTTGTTGTCAGTTGCTGCTCGAAGTTCGCTCGTCCTACCTGCTTCAATCTGTCGCCTAACCCTGCGGTCTTATTGGGATGTCTCTCGACAACGTATTGGATGTGCACCAAAGCTATCAGTGTTCGAAAAGACCCACGTGTATGTCGGCAACGAGCGATTCTTCAAAGAAGTCGCAAATTCTCGCGGTTTGGTTGGGTTCGGCAAATGACAGCTTGTGCGCCGCATCGTGTTGAAACTTCCAAGAAGCCGTTCCCTCTCGTTTGTGTTCGTGTGGTTGTCCTGCTTTGACCGTGTCGACAAATATCACGGATTACCTCTTTCAAATCTGCTATTGTTATGGTAAGTGCACTGCAACCTACATGTTGGCAACGATTGACCGTTCTTCTACGCGTACTCTTCTAAATTATCTAAAGAATTATGCAGCGCCTATTCGCGCGGCAGCCAGGAGAATAATTTCCCCGAAAGTCTACCTGTATAGTGTTCACAGATCGCTTGCACGTTTGTACTTGTCTACAGAAGAGGTAATAAACTTCGAGGAGAATTGAAAACAATCTTTTGTGTCGGTTTTCCTGTCCACTTACAAGCACCTACGCGAGTGCATTTGTTCTACGTGTTTTCTCCATGTTATAAATACGTTTATGAGTTTCGGGACGTCTTAAATATGTTTAAGATAACCAACCGCCCAGACGATACCCATTTAGGGCTAGCGCATAATTTGCCATTTCGAAGGGCACGTTCAAACGTGTGGTCACGTGCCATGTCGAACGGCTACTCGTACCATACGGCACCCGTATCAAACGGGCACCTGTATCAAACGGGTACCGTTTCGAACGGGTACCGTTTCCAAACGGGTACCCGTATCCCATAATCACGTTTGATCCAAACGGATCGACAGGTTTGATTCAAACGGGCGACCAGTTTGCCACCCGTTTGAATTTCAAATGGTTTTTTTTCAGTAGGGGAAGGACCCGCGGAAACCCGCAGAGCACTCGCATCTCACGGGAACAAATACCGCAGATCGTGGACGCAGCAGATTCAAGGTTCATGGTGCAATGAAAACGCGGGAACCCTTTACAATCTTGCCTGTCACGGAAACCGATATCGTGCGCGCAAAACGCGGAAAAAAACAAAAAAAAACGCGGGAAAACGCTACGAACTCGCATGTCACGGAAACAAATACCGCAGATCGCGGGCGCAACCGAGTCGCATTTCACGATGCAACATACACGCGGGAACAACTCGTGCGTGTTGCAGTGTTACAGCTAAGAATCGATATCGCGAGCGTAGATCGTGGACAAAAACACGGGAAGTTCGCTACGAGCTCGGGAACGGACCGCAAATCGCGAAAGCAGCAGATTCGCATTTGGCGATACAATATACACGCGGGAACAACTGTCACGATCTTTCTCGAACGTGGACGAAGGGGGCCGAAGCACCCGCCGAGGAGAGTCAACACGCAGCCTGGTTGTGAGGGTGGACGACGACTGACCGGAGCGGCGTGCGCTCAACGGTGTTTGGATATGGATATGGATATGGTGGCTTAACCCTTTGTATCGGGCGATCACAGTTTTAACAAAACTGGATCTAGCCAAAAAGGTGAACAATGTTGAACAATGTTGCCCGCCGAGCCTGGCGGCCACAGACGGGCGGACTGGAGGGAGGCGCTACATACTTGTTACACAACTCCCGTGTTACGGGAGCCAATATTACGCGCGCAGATAGCACGCGTACAAAAACGCGGGAACCCACTATGAACTCACTTCTCGGACGTACCGGAACCGCATATCGCGTCATTAGGCAGTTTTCGTACACCGTTTTCGCCATTCCGCAACGCCCTCCGCAACCCGCTACGATATCTGGAACTCACAGTGAAGGCTATTCGGCGCGCAGGCGCAGTAGCGGCTGCTTCGTTGCGGAGGGCTTAGCGGAGGGAGAAACGCGGTCTACGAAAACTCCCTTTTGATGCGCGATTCCCGTCGGACATCACTTGACGTCCAACAAAAAGTGGGGGGTGGGAGTTGTAGATTATTCCATATGGCAGCAGGTAACTAGAGGAAAAGTAGGCAGAGGAGCGCAGAACCACGAAATCATGAACGGCACGAGAAGGAACGATAAACCGACACCATCGAAACGGACGTGCCCGGGATCTCTTCCTTAACATTGGCGCCATGCAAATGACCACGAAGAAACCGGTGCTCGCCGAGCGGGTGCTGGGCCTCGTCCAGCGGTTCAACGTAAAGGATGGCTACGGCTTCATCAACTGCAACGACACGCGGGAAGACATCTTCGTCCACCAGAACGCCATCACGCGGAACCACCCGCAGAAGCTCACGCGCACCGTTTACGAGGGCGAGACCGTCGAGTTTGACGTCGTCGTAGGCGAGAAGGGACGCGAGGCCGCCAATGTGACAGGTCCCGACGGCGAGCCCGCGCAGTGCCTCCCTTAGA